GCCGGACCGGCGACAGTGGACTCCGACACAAGACTGCCGGACCGGCGACAGCGTCTACCGGGGGTCTGTATTGGCTCTATCGGGTCCATCAGCGAGGTCCTCAGGGAATCTGAGCGATTCCCACGAGCACACCGATTGGGCCCACAGGCCAGCGGTGTTCGTGTGACTGCCATAGAACGTTCACCCGATCAGCCCCTGGGTGGCCTGGTGCGCCCCCCAGGGTCAGTTAAGCGAGCCCCAAGCAAAAAACCACGGATCAAGTGTGCCACCGGCAAACGCTCCAGAAGGGGTGGAGGAGAACGCCATCAATCTGGAATGGTCGCCAGCGAGCAGTGAGGTGGCTACATAACTGTGCCCTCTGTTCCATCCCCCGTTCAGGAAGGATTTAGAACAATAACTGAAATGCCACCAAGTCGCCGGTCGGACAGCACATGCCTGCTAAGAACTCTACTATACACAGTTATCTACGATAACTACATTCTACATTCCACGCGGACAGTAAGAAGTGAACAAAACGGATCAAAGGCCGCCCCAATCACGGAGACCATCCTATTCGACATCGATGTCCAGCAGCTAGCGCCAAACTCCAAACTTTTGGTGTTGTTCAACCTCTCGTCATGTCAGTAAGCGTCACTCGGGGTTAGCCAGTTAGCCAGGTTGCACTTGTTTGCACTTCACTTTCATCGCCACTCTATTGGGCAACGGGCTGGTATGCGCATTCTGGAAGCATGATGAAACCGCATCTGCCTGCACCGATTTTCAGGCGGCGGCGCGGCCGGGCGGTGCGGTGCGGGCCGCCGCTGGCCGTCTCCGCGCCGCCGCGCTGCTCAGTGTGCCGCCGCCGGCCGGCCCGGTAACACGGCGGTACCACGGCCGCCACCGCCGCGACTGCAGCCGGCCGCGGCGTCTGCAGCGCCGCCACGCACCGCCCATGACTCACAGAGCCGGCCGGCCGGCGGGGAAGCGGAACCGGCCGGTCCGAGTGACGGGCGGGCGCCCGCCGCCGGCCGACGCTCCCTCTGCCTGGCCGCGGCCTCCCCGGCTCTGCCTCCGGTGTGGTCGGCCGGCGCGGCGGACTGCGGCGGCGGCCGGCCGGCCGGGGCCGCCGCGGCCGGAAGCCTCCCCTTGATGACCCGTCCGGTGTCGGCCGGATATAGCGCGGCCCGCGGCACCGCACGGCGGCGAGACGGGTCACGCAGAGCCGTATCACGGCAGCGCCGCCTTCCTGACGGCCACCCGTCACCGGCCCGTCAGCGGTACTCAGACGTCCGTCAGCGGTACACAGCGTCAGTTAAAGGCCAAAGACACGACTGCACTCCCATCGTCAGTCAGCAGTCCTAGACTGATCCTAACTGCGAGATCGGTTGTCCTGGTGGAGTAGCCTGGTTGATCCACAAGTCTGGGACCCGCTACGAAAGATAAAATTGACTGCATGAGGAACTACGGGTCGCTCATGACTCCTCGCATCATTTCCTCTCTCCGTTCCTCTCGCGCTAGCCCGAGCCGGTGTGTCGTGTGTGCCCTCTCAGCCTGGCGAGGCGAACAACCTCCTCAGACGCCAAAGAAGCGATCTGAGATTGGTCCGAGGCCATTTCAGGTTGGTGGACCAGTGAGCACACAAGCGTCCAGTGGCCTTTGTGTGGCCCTCTCAAGTCAAACGGGCCCCCTCCCATCAACGTCCGGCCCCTCAGACCGTTCCGTTGAAGAAAAGCCGTCTGACTCCTGAACCCCTCAGACAGATGCCGGGGTCCACTCAGACTGGCGGGGGAACTCAGACAGGTAGAGGATCCCTTGGACCCTGGAATCTGCTTCATACCCCGTTTCCAGATATTGTAGAGCCCTGGAAGGCGGAACCTGTCAGATGGACCTCACAGACCTTGAAAGCGATCTCCAGCCCTGATTTATATGGCACCAGCTTGCAAAAAGGACGCATAACTTGACAGCTGAACACCGGGCTACGTGAATGTATAGAGGGCAGACCCGTGCCCCATAGCAACTATCGCCTCAGACTGCAATGAATGCACACATCGCCTTATAGCCCTGAGTCCGAGCGGATGTCACCAGTCACTAGCGGACATGGCTGACGGCCAGCGGCAGCGGTCGAAACTGTTCACATCTGTGTAGGCACTGCCTCTGTGTTGGATGCAATGAAATGATGGAACCATATGAGAACCACATTTGATCACCCCAGGATATTGTCAACGTTACATCGAGAACCCAATCACATGTTCAAGGGCATTTGGCGTCCGTTGACCTCATAAAACGCAAGGCTAGTTGCGTACTGGGGCATCCATACAACTTAAAACCAGTTTCCGCGTTTCCTAGGTGACAAAATATGTTAAACTTTCTATCGTACTTTGTTGGGATGGGGGCTGGGACCCATCTCCCATCTCTCCGCGCAGGTATTCCGCAGTTGTGCTCTCATCTGCATCAATTCTACAAAGCTCGTAACAATGTCAATAAATTTAGTCCCGACCAGTCAAGGGAAGCAGCGCTAAAGAGTGAGGTCATGAGTCATCACCTCACCTGACCTTGACCTGTTTGTAAGCTACCTAGGCAAAAGGAATGGGCTCTTGGGATTCCCTTCCTGAAAACTTTCTATTGCCGTTTTGTCCTCCATCATTCTACGGCCACCCGTCCAGAAGTAAGGCGGGGGACAGAACCCGTCTCTCAGCTGAGCGGCGCTGGGACGACAGCGCGGTCAGCCAAATACTACAGCGGGGCACAGCGTTCACGTGCGCGCCGTAATTCAACTTGTCAAATCACACTAAATACGCAAAAACCACATCACTAATGCACAATCGAAAACTGTGCAGGGCGAGAGCCCCCTGTCGCAGCCAAATTAGCCAGCACAACAGATTTCATGGCGATAGCCGACTCGGATGTGAGTTGTGACCAGTCGAGGGCGATCCGGCCGGCCGGCCGATAGGCGTCCCGCCCCACTGGCACACGGGCCGGGTGAGCGTTGCGTCAGGCGGGCCGCAGTATCGGTGCCGATACGGGGTGAGGGCCCGCCGGCTGGCCGACGGCCACCGGTGCAGAGCCCGGCGTCGGGTCGGATGGGGTCAGCCCAGCGGGCCCGCCAGCAGCGCGGCACGCCGTCCGAGCAGAGCGCTTCAGCCGGCACCGCTTACACGACAAATTTACTACCAGTAAAACGCCTTTTGGGCGAAGAACGAGCGAGCGAGATAGTGAGCCCTGCACGTGCAGAAGGGCGAGAGGGTACTTCCAACGGGCTTGTGCAAAGCACCCTTCTAACCGGTCGCTAGCGGTGTGCCAAATTTGAACGCAATCGGCCCAGCCGTTCCTGAGATCTGGAAGCGGCATTCTGCACGTGCGCACGTGCAAACGGGGTCCAAAATGACTTTTGCACGGCACCCTACTAACCGGTCCCCAACTGTGTACCAAATTTGAGCGCAATCGGCCCAGCCGTTCTCGAGATCTGGAAACGCCCCCTGCACGTGCGCACGTGCAGTAGCACCCTAACCGCAACACATGGGAATGCATTGCCTGGTGGGTGCCTACCTGTATGCCAAGTTTCAGCGAAATCACCCCAGTAGTTACCGAGTTATTGAAATGGGAACAAATTTGGCACCTCTTATTGTTGTATTTTGCACGTGCAGTGGGGGTCACTCACATAGATCAAGAGTATCTGACCTTTGATAGAAGGGATGGAGCTACCCTATAAAAATGACCGCAAGACAATCGCTAAAGCCGCTGCTGAGATATGGGCCTCTCAAAATCATTACTTTTGCAAAACTGCTTGAACACCCTTGACTTTTCACGTGGCACGTGCCACGACGGTCACTGAGATGTATCAAAAGTAGTCAATTACGGGGTAGAAGGGATGGGGCTACCCAGCAAAAAAGACCGCAGGCCAATCGGTCCAGCGGTTGCTGAGATATAAGCCTCTCAAAAGCGTTACAGGCCGGGCCGGGCCGGGCCGGGCCGGGCCGGGCCGCTCATACTGAGATTTTTCCGTTATATTGAAAAGACTTCGCTTCGCTCGCTGCGCTCGCTCGCTCGTAACAAAATGCGACCAACTCGAACGTGACACTAGACAGAAGCATCAGCGCCGAGTGGAAACTGTTTGGCGATAATCATTAAAAATGTGAATAAATTTCAGCCAACCAGAACAGGACAAGTTATAGATTGACGCCAGTGCCGATATAGAGGATTTTCGTGTCGCTGAGTTCCGTGTCCGCTCAACGGCCGCGAAGTTTGTGTCCAATGCCACTAACTCGTCACTAACAGAGGTGCTTCTCACAACATCAGCCCACATGAAGCGGATACACCAAACAAACATGGAGTTTTAGCATTCAACATGATCGCCATTCAATCATTATATCAAGGATGGTTGTTTGAAAAGGTATTTCAACGTCAAACTACTTCGTCATCCGCACAACGCCACAAATCGATCCACAGCGTTAAAAGATGTCCAAATTGTCCTCGTCTCGCCGGTTTGCGTGCACGCACGATTTACAGCACGCCCGAGAAGCAATAATTTCAGTTTGACACGCGGCGAAATGTGAACCGTTCAAAGCAGCGTCCAATACCGTCCCCAGCTGAGAACAGTCGCCCATAGTGCAGATCGCTGCTTCGCCCTCTGCCGAACACTTGCACACAATAAGCGTCTGGCCAATAGTGCGGCCGAATTGGATTCAGGTGTTTATGTACCTGAACTGGGTCTAAAAAGCATGGTTCAAAAACCGTGTGCCGTAAACATGTGCGCTAGGTAAGGAAGAACGGAACGGACAAACGTCGTATCAGACAGCGATGAGCGAGCTCGCACGTTGGCCCCTCACCATTTATGTGGCGGTCAGTCAACTTACAGATTTACCTTACGTGGAGGAACAAAACTGGCGGAATATAACTACTTCTCCAGCCCAGTCTGCATTTAAAACGCGAGTGGCCCACCCAAGACCTCGTACACAGGCCCGTGAAAGCGGAGCAGGCTGCCGAAGTTCTCGTCCACTTGTTTGGGTCCCAGTCGCACTCACCGAACTCGATGAAGTCGGAGACGGTCTTTTCTCGGCGGAGACTCGAGTTGGAGCACTCGTCGAACAGGACGACGAGCACGTCGAGCAGCGTCTCGGCGCTGAACATGAGGCCGTCCGAGCGGCCGGCGCCGGCCAGCACCAGCTGTTCCAGCTGCCGCAGCCGCGCCTCGGGGCCGGCGCCGGCCTCCTGCAGCGGCGGCGCGCTCATGGCGGCCGGCCCGCCGCCGACCCGCGACCGCTAGCGGCGCCCACAGCACGCGGTCACCCACCCGCCCACCTGGAGGACAGAGAGACGCCGTCAGCTGACAGGGACAGGGAGGCACTGTCAGCAGACACCCACCCGCCCACCTGGAGGACAGAGACACGCCGTCAGCAGACAGGGACAGGGAGACGCCGTCAGCAGACCGCTGCAGGGACACACTGTCAGCAGACAGCTGCAGGGAGACGCCGTCAGCAGACAGCCGCAGGGAGACACTGGCAGCAGATAGCCGCAGGGAGACGCCGTCAGCAGACAGCTGCAGCGAGACACTGTCAGGTGGCAGACACAGGGACACACCATCAGCTGACAGTCACAGGGACACACTGTCAGCTGACAGTCACAGGGACACTGTCAGGTGACAGCTGACAGGGACAATGTCAGCTGACAGTCACATGGACACTGTCAGCAGACAGCTGCAGGGACACTGTCAGCTGACAGTCACAGGGACACTGTCAGGTGACAGCTGACAGGGACACTGTCAGCTGACAGTCACAGGGACACACTGTCAGCTGACAGTCACAGGGACACACTGCCAGGTGACAGGGACAGGGAGTCAGGGAGACACTGTCAGCTGACAGCTGACAGGGACACTGTCAGCTGACACACAGGGACACACCATCAGCTGACAGTCACAGGGACACACTGTCAGCTGACAGTCACAGGGACACTGTCAGTTGACAGTCACAGGGACACTGTCAGCTGACACACAGGGACACACTGTCAGCTGACAGTCACAGGGACACTGATAGCTAGTGGCCACAGGGACACAGTGTCAGCTGGCAGTCAATGACATACCACTAGCTGACAGTGACTGGGTGCTATGAAGTAAACTCTATGAAGTAGGTAGAAAAAAAAAATAATCAAGGAGCTCAGCACATGACTACTGAATTCTAACATACCTATCTGATGCCTTCAGTTTTTTAATTGGATATTGGCTGGGAGCTTGAAGAGCCATTCTAAAAGCTCTTTAAAATGTGGACAAGGTACAAGGCAACTCAACAGATGTATGATCTTTTTGCTAAGGGCAATATGACACTGTGCAAGGTGTCATATGTGCTTAATAATTTTTGGTCAGGATTGAGCATAGAGGAATGTAACAGCCTAATGTTAAATGTGTACCTACTGGAAAGATGTAGCATGGGTCTGGCAAGCTGGCAGGAAGCAGGGTACATGTGGAATCTAGGAACTAGCTCACCTAAAATAAACTGAATATAATAAGTGCATTGAATATTAATTTAAAAGGGCAGGGATTATGGTAGAAAGGTCATGAACTATTGAACATGAGCATGAACTCATGAATTTCTGTTGGCCAATTTCATCAAGTTGGCGATCATTATAAGCTTGATCCTGATAAAATGGAGGCTTGACATGCTTACTTAAAAAACAAAACAGGATGAAATATAAACATTGATGCATATATTGTTATTAAGGCAGGTTAAGTGTGTTCTACATTCAACAGAGTCTTTATAAGCAACTGACCATTAAATTCAAGTATCTACCTACCTAGGCTACTCTGCTCCTCGGAACCAAATATTTTAGTAAGCTAACCATTGACATAGTTTACAAATAAATGCATAAATATTTAGACAATTTTAATAAGATAAAAAAGGAAAGCATATTTGTTTCCATTTTAAACATAAAACATGATTGAGCAATTCCAAAAATAGTGAAATGGCTAGCCAGTTCAGGTTGCGGTTTTAGTTACTAACTTGTGGTTGAATGTCTACAAACATAGGTCAAAGATTCATACTAATAGTGCAAAGCTCTTTCAGAATTCGCCCAACCATAACTCAGGACTGAATTTGCCCTGCAACCTCAACCAGTCTCAAGAGTACCTACCAGCAAACCTAAGCAAAATAATTGATCAATGAGGATGCGCCATGCAATTCTTTATATTATTTTGATGGTATGACTATAACAAAACACGCTATCCACATATTTTAATCGTATACAACGATAAGCAATTCTAAACTGCATTTTTTCGTCTACTGCTGCACATCGCATGTGAAGATGGCTGCCACACCTCGTTTTTATGGCTTCATAACAAGGCAACAAAAGGAGAGAATCAGCAAACATTTCGCATGAAAACATTCGTTGGAGTACTTACCATCCCACGGTATTAATATGTGCACTGTCCGACTACCCAATATCCAGGAAATTGCACTTGCAAAACCCCCACCACGAAGGCACTCGCACACCCCATCCGAACGCGAATCTGTTCGCCTCGGGCGAAATTCGTGTCGACGAAGGGCAGGAGGCAGGAGGAAAACCGGATAGGTGCTGACATCTGTAGACTGTTTCCGTAACTAATAGTTCCTCAGATCCATTGGTCGTAGGTGTTGTCGCTAGCCCTCAGCGCAGACTCACAGATGCGAGATGCTCCTGGCAAATCTTATTGGGGTTGCAGAGCAATTCGCAGTTGTATTCCCTGAAGCCACGCATATGGGATGCCTGACGAAAAGAAAAAAAAAAATCTTTTTTTTTTCATCCTTTGGCTTTCATTGTGTCAAGCGAACACTTCCGTAATAGCGAATTCACTACACTGATGTTGGCATGGTCTGATAAGTGATAACCCTTTTATTCAGAGTGCTTTAGCTTAGAGATGATAACAGAGCTCCAGTTGTTACCCAGTACAACCTGCAAGGCTGCTCTGTCATCTGTCGATATTCATCACCCCTCCCCTAACCTAAAAAAAGAACACCATCCAAAAGCGCTCTTGATGAAGCGGCCACAATGATTTTAAAATTTAAATGCTCAGCCTGACGATAGCTGAACTCAAACGAAAATTGCTTGGGAACCTTTTCTCACCTCAGACGTGCTAAGCGCACGGCCTTCATAATCTATCATTTAGTTATCGCGGTGCCTCTGCCGTCAACATCAGAGACAGCGCCCCCTGAACCGGAGCTGAACTGTACGCAAACACCGCACAGCTTCCATTTACCTATCGCTGAAGTGGCATGGTTGCATGCCGCGAAGTCATGATAATTGTGCAACACAAAATATGAGTTGGTTAATGGTATATTCATCGGTATAACCATGCAAATTCCAAACCCTTCTCATTTGCAGTGAAATTGTGGCCGGACTGTGAACATTGGACAATTGAGCTCATATTCGGCACGATAACGTTATCTCTGCATAACCATACAAGCAATTTTGATGGAAATTGAAAACCAAAACAACTCAAAATCGATCGTATATAGCCCATGAGAAGGGTCTGGAAAAGGGCAAACCATTAAAGTGCAACAAGTACACTATGAGGATGATCAGATGATGTATCGAGACTAGCTGCTAACCATAATAGAAAGGTTCAATCACAATTAGCGACATATCGATGACTCGATATGCGACACATACACAGATATACACGCAGAATCCCTCACTCGCGGTGGCGAGCAGCCCGACTGCCGGCTGCCTCCTGTGGGCCGCCGCCGGGGCCCTGCACGGGCTGCAGGGTGGCCGACAGCGGCGCCGTCAGGCCCCGCGCCGCCGTCACCAGGCACTGGCGCATGTTGCGCTGCACGTGCTCCAGCTGCCAGTGTTTCATGAGCAGCGCGTGCTCGAGGTGGAACGGGCCGTGTCGGAGGCAGCGCGAGCGCACAGTGACGGCGGCCGTGCGCAGCTGGCGGCCCAGGTCAGCCACCAGCGTCAGCAGGTACTGGCTCGACTCGTTGCAGCTGTGCACCTCGATGGTGACGAACGGCGGCGCGAACTGTTGGCAGCGCAGGCCATAGATGACGGGCGGCGCGCCGCGCTCCGGCCGCGCCGGGCCGCGGCTCGCCAGCTCGTAGGCGGCCTGCGAGTTGACCGGCAGGCCGGTGTGCTCGAACATGAGCCGCTGGTGGGCCGCCTGTAGGCCGCTGAGCACCGCCTCCAGCCGGCCGCGCGTCACGTGGCCGTAGGCGGCGCGCTCGGTGGGCCGGCCGGCGGCCAGCAGCGTGTCGGTGGCCAGGCCCAGCCGCGCCGTCACCTGGTGCACGCGCACCTGCGGGCCGGCGTCGCGCAGCGCGGCCGCCAGCCGGGCGCCGCTGTTGACGCCCAGCAGCAGCGGCCCGGACATGTGGCGGCCCAGCGAGGCCAGTCGCGCCACGCGCACGTCCACCGGCTGTAAGGCCGGTCCGGTGAGCAGGCGCGGGTTCAGGCCGGCCAGCGGCGGCTCCAGGGACGCCGAGTCCACCAGCGGCGGCTCCAGGGACGCCGAGTCCACCAGCGGCGGCTCCAGGGACGCCGAGTCCCCGGCGGCGGCGGTCCGGCCGTCCACCACCGCCGCGTAGCGCGCCTCCTCCACGGCGTTCAGGTCGGCGGCCAGCCGGTGGCGCAGCACCCGCATGCAGTGGTTCACCGTGCACCCGGCCGGTTTGAACACGCAGACCAGTCCGTGCAGGCGCCTCCAGATATCGGCGGCGCGCCGCGGCGCCACGGCCACTGTGGAGCTCATCCCGGCACTGTCTGACGGAAATGGGGCGAGCGTCAGCAGCGTGTCTCACAAGCTATCCCCCACTTTCACAGATGACCAATCTGGGTGTCAATGCTGCCCCAAGGTTTTTTCTGCAAAAATATTCAGAATGGATGCATCCAGAGAAGATACATCAATCCAAAGCTTGACATAGGTAGCTTTAAGTTCATGATTTACATACAAGGTCATGTTCAGCCAGTGTCCCAAAATTGAGTTTTGTCTTGGGTGTCAGAGGGGAAAATTACCCACCAAAAAGAGGGGAGAGAGTGGAAAACTGCTGATTCGATTAGATCAAAAAGGAGTGAGAAATGACAAAAAGCATGCATTTTATTCTAGGGTGTAGAATGTTTGATGCTAACTGGGCATCCACACAACTGTCTTTCTATTGGTAAAAAATCTATGTTTTCTTGGTTGGGACTTGGGAGTGGAAAATTGTTCTTAAAAATGGTGGTGAGAGTGGAAAATGAATTTCATTTGGATGTCGTTTCCCACCCAAATAGACAAATTTTGGGACATTGTGTTCAGCTGACATCAGTGATTTTTGTGATCTGAATAAGTTTCCACTTTCTGTTATCTAAAGCATGTCCTAAGATTGTGCAAGATCAAGCTCATGCAAGGCATGCAGTTCATGCCTTGCATGAGCTTGGCATGAGTTAAAATGATGATATTTGATTTAACTTGCAGTATCAGTTTAACAGGAAATTAAAAACTTTATTCTTAAGACTAAGACTGAGATGGAATTCCAGCACGTAAAACTTGAAGTCGCCAATTGACAACCATGTAGGTACCAAAATTAATATCATAATCTGACCAGCCTTTGAGCATCTTAAGTGGGCACATCAAACTCAACATTTCAAATGCATTTCAATTTTCAGGTTGAACACATTATAGGTAGGTAGTAAGTACCTTATCTACCTACCTATCTACCTACCTACCTACAGAATAACCAGTGGGAACCAATTGCAATGGTAGCACTATTCTTCTTCTTCTGTCGTTGGCTCCATCCATCAGATGCAGTGTAGAACTTGTCGACCGCCTTTCCATTACGTTTAACTGTTTACTACGCCATCTGACGCCGGGATTAGGTCTGTGGGTGGATATTCGTGTTTGGCTAGGAATGACCGTGTGGGGGGCTCTGATTCTATTGTGAATTCGATTGTGATTCTATAGAATCTGACTATTGAATTCCTGAATTCAATGTGTAGATCAATTTATGTAATTTCTATCTAGTTACCTAATAGGCACTTAATTGAAATTTTTGAGTCTGAAATCTGACATTTTTATCCAATATTAGCTTAAACCGCATAAAAAGTACTCACCTAGCAAAACTACTGAGTGTATGTTAACAGCATGGATGAAGCATTTAATCCAAGATACCTATAAGCACAGTGTATCCTGTAAGTTACCTGTATTTAATCAATGTAAACCACACTGCACTCTGTGAAAACCACTGAACTCTATAATAGTGTACCTAATTGTAATGGTGAAAACAATAAACGTGACCGAGAGCGTCGTATTTGAATGGAATGCGCAGTTTGTGTCTTCATTATTTGTGTCCAAATGTAGTATATATTTAGTAGTTTTTAATAAATCCAAAAAATATTCTATATATTTATCTTCATTTTACCTGGCAAGGAAAATTTGTTACCAAAAATATCTTGATAAATTGCATAAAAGGTAAATCAAATTTGGTTTAAATGCTTTTGCAGCTGTGAATGATCAATTGATCGTCAAATTAAGTCCGAAAACGGATGTATTATTTGATTGCAATAACACGTCAGATCTTGTAACTTCAATAAGAACATAAAACGATCTTCATCAAATAAAAGTTATCCATCTTGCTACTTGCTACCGGCAATATTTCAGAAGTCTTTTTGCAGAGTTAGTTTGTCCTTGGCTTCTAGTTGCTACCATATTCCAGGGCAACTGCAAATGCTTTCTGATTCATCGAACGGTGCGCGGGGCTGTGGTGGTTGATAGAACTGTGGTGTTTGATCATTGAATTACCGGTGTGATTGCTGTGTGAGCTTGGGTAAGGTTGAACTGAAGACGCATATATTCAGCAAGAACGGTATTTTATTGTTGCTGACATCCCCACTGCAATATGGATTTTGACCATGCCGCTGACGCTGCGCAACGCCCGGAAGGAGGCTTAGCACAGACAGAAGAAAAGACTCCGGACTTGGCCGTACGTAATGTCGGGGAACCGTTATCTGAGAAAGCACATTCACCTACAGATGTAAAAGAGGGTCTCCTTGCGGAAAAACAGACGAACCCAATGGATGATCTGGCCAGTTTTGATCCCTTCGGTCGTGGGTCGACTGAGCCCGATGTTGATGTAGCGCCGGCCGCGCCCACCGACAGTTTTCCGATCACAGCCCAGCAGCAAAGCGACAACCTGCTGGATTTATCTGCTGGCGCTCAGGGGGACGATGGATTGAAGACTGAAGAGAGGGGTCAGGTTGACGTTAAAAATTCAGAGCCTGCTTATGATCTCGATGCCCCTGACGTTTTGCCAGATCTCCCCAGTCCGCCTCAGCCGGTGGACTCCTTTGTTTACGGAAGTGCCGATGAGGGGAAATCATTTTCAGCTGTGCACGATGCTGATTCTACGTTCCAACAGCCAGAAGCGAATCCAGCTCAACCGTCTAGCACTTCATTGGGATTTGATTCGGCAGGAGCTGACATCAGTTCTGCCAATCCTGTGATGAGCAGCCCTCTGAATAGTCCACCCCCCGAGGATGACCTATTGGGTGCACCCATCACCCCCACTGCCGCCACCGAGCCCCGTGACCAGCCGGCCGGCGCGGGTGGCGCCGAGTCAGCCGACTTGCATCACCAGCCGACAAGCACCACTCCCTCCTTGAATGACACCCCGGCCGTGGGAGGGGACGCTCGCGAGCCCACGCCGCCGCCCACCTTCCCCCAGTCGGACAGCCCGATCCCCGTTGAGCCGGCCGCCCGGTCTGAGGACAGCTCTGGCAGCCAGCCCAGCTGGGACCCGGTCCCGTCCGCCGCCCAGCCGGCCGCGCCCTTCATCAATCCTGACCCGTTCCAGGAGTTTGTGCCGCCGGCGGAGGGCCGGCCGCTGGGCGACCAGCCGCCGCCGCGCATCCCGTCGCCGTCGTCGATGGACGCCGAGCCGCCGACGCCCGTGGACCGCTCGGCGATCAGCTCCATCAAGGAAGCCGAGCGCGCCCAGCCGCCGGTCGATCCCGAGCGCGTGGTCGAAAAGCTGCCGCTGGAAGCCCTGCGCAACCGCGACGTGCAGGAAGCGCTGGCGTCGGTCATCCCGCCGGCTCCAGACAAGCCGCTGCCGCCGACACCGAGCTCGCGGCCGCGGCCGACGGCCGGCTGCCTGGCCCACCTGCCCGGTAAGTGGCGCGGCGCCCCCCCCCCCCCGCCCCGACCCTTCCTGTGACGCTCCACTGCTCCCAGTAACCAGCCGGCGGTATTCCACCGCTCTGCGGCCGTTTTTGTCCTTTCGTTATCCGTGAACCGGCGGTGGGCACGAACATTGTTCACCTTCAGCCGGCGGATTGTGAAATGGGAATGTGTGCATGCAGGGGCGGGTCCAGGGAGCGTTCACGGGAGAACCTTCCCCGAAAGAGGACCGTTCCTTTTGTGAACGTTAGTACGGTCGTAGCAGTGATGATTAATTTTATGGTTTGCCCCTCGGAAATACGGAAGCATCGACTTGCTCCGCCCGTGCCGGCGCGCGCCGCCGTTCGAGATAGATGTGTGCGTGTACGACTCGCGGCTGGTGCACAGTGCACAGCCGCCGTACCGGTCGTTACGTAACACTGTGCACTGCTGGGGGCGCCGGCGGTGGCGGAGACAGCGCCGGCGGTGCCGCCTCTCCCCCCGCCGTCCCGCCCGGCCGCTGCCGCGCGGGGCTGGTGTCACTGGGTCGACCGCCGGGGTCCACTGGAACAGGGCCAGTCACGCGAGCGGCAGCCGGGCGGGGACCACACTCCGCGCCCGGCGGGATGTGATCATCCGGTTCTGCCCAGAGTGCGTCATACGACGGTCGCAGGAGGCCATAGGTACTGATACTGATACCGATCGTACGCCAGTTATTACGGTGACGCGTGATGACAGCTTACAGTTGTGAACATTACATTGTCAGCTAGCTTATGTTGGGTCCTGTCGCTTTAAATGGTAGATAATTCCGCGCTGGGCCGGGGAGGGGCGATCGAACAGTAACCCCGTCTAACTCGGATCCTGGGCCACGTATAGCGACACGCGGTAACCGGCATTGGAAAGAACGTGATAAATAATGATGGAAGCCTACTTCGGTCATTTCTTTGGTCATGTCAGGTCACCAGAGATCATAGATCACCATTCACCATACTTGTAGCCTGTAGGTCAAGTTTTGCCGATTTCAATATTTCTTCTTTTTACAAATCGGCGCATAACTCGGGAAATAGAGCTACAGTGTGTTGGAAAAGTGCATTGGATGGCTCCTTAAACGTTCTTTCTGGAATGTGTCCTCAGATTTGACAAGCTCAACGGGATGACCTCAGTGGAAAAAGAGGGGCCACCCGCCACGGTGCAATATTTCCGATTCAGTGTTTCATAGTTAGGTTATAGGTACCTGTTATGTCCGATGTTTGAGGGTGTCTCACTGTCTAATATGGCTTCCGTCCAAAGGAGACGCATTTCAATTTGCTTTTGTTGCTTATAAATATGGAGATGTCGCAAAATTGCCCGCACCTCTGGTCGCCGTCATCGAAGTTCCGAGATATATCTTTTACACATACTGCGTACTCTTATCAACCAGTATAACGCCTTTTGGGGCGACTAACGGAGCGAGCGAGAGGGTGAGCCTTGCACGTGCGAAATTTCGAGGGGGTACCTCCAGCTGACTTGTGCACGGCACCTTACTAACCGGTCTCTAGCAATGTGCCAAATTTGAGCACAATCGGCCCAGCACGTGCAAAATGGGTCCCAACTGACTTGTGCACGGCACCCTACTAACTGGTCCATAACCGTGTACCAAATTTGAGCGCCATCGGTCAAGCCGTTCTCGAGATCTGGAAACGACCCCTGCACGTGCGCACGTGCAGCAGCACCCCAACTCTGGCACATGGATATGCAGTGCCTAGTGGGTGCCTGCAGTGCCTAGTGGGTGCCTACCTACATGCCAAATTTCAGCGCAATCGGCCAAGTAGTTACCGAGGAGTCCCCTCCACTTGGACTAGTGTCAGTTGGTCTAGTATCGTTTGGGCTAGTTCATTTGGTCTAGTGCTTGGCGCTAGACCAGCTGAAGCACTAGACCAATTGCACTAGCTCAAAAGGCACTAGACCAAATGATGCTAGACGAAGAGAGTGGCACCCGTTACCGAGATATTGCAACAATTACAAAACTGACACCCCTTCGTTTTGCACGTGGCACGTGCATAAGGGGTCACCCACATTGACATGCATCGGGAATATTCCAGTACTTGGTAGAAGGAATGAAGCTACCCTACAAAAATTACCGCAGGTAAATCGGTCAAGTGTTTTTTTTATATTTTTTTGTTGCCCGACCCGGGCTTTTGTCGTTAGTAGCACACATTCATACTGGGTTAGTACACTATATACACGGCAGTGGTACGAAGCGTTTTCGGCACCCGCTACGCGGGACAGCCTTGACCGCGCGCTTCCTGTCACGCACCCCAGGTGGCACAGCAATGGTGCGCACGCTGGGGCTATCCCGATTTCTCGGGCCCGGCAGGTCAGAGGGCTGCTCCGGGACATGAAGCAAGGCCGTGCCCTCGGGACATGTCACCGGACCGAAGGATCAGTTTAAAGGCGGATCAGGCCCGTGTACCTGCGGCCGGGGGGCGCTGGCTGGCACAGCGGTAATCCCCACGACCGAGCGAACACTTCCCAGTTACTGCCATCTCCTGGGTAGGAGCCGGCCGAGGAAAACGCTGCCAGAGGTCAGCTTTGATCCAAGGACCTCCCACACCAAACGTGAACGCACTTGCCAACTGCGCCACAAGTGTGGTTAATCGGTCAAGTGGTTGCTGAGATATAAGCGTCGCAGAATCGTGACCACGGCCGGCCGGCCGGCCGCTCATGCTCAGAAATTTCCGTTATTCTACGTAAGACTCCGCTCGCTTCGCTCGCTCCGTAATCAAGATTCAAAGCGATCGCACACGGTCGGTGTAGCTATGGCGAGCATTAAAACTTTTTTCTGAGGTAAGGTCACTTGACGTGACCTGGTGACCTGACCTTGAGCGATGTGGGCCTGAAATTCTCACATATGCGCAAATGCCGAAAATATTCATGAAAAGGTGCTTGGCAAATACGGCAGCGCTCTCCCTGCGAAAACCGCACGGGGGAAGGGGGCATTCAAATTTCAAACATCCCCCGCGGCCCAGCGCTGGCCAACCTTCGCCCTGGTGGGAGGTGGGGCGTTTTGGGCCGTCTTCCAGTTTTTTTTTTTGCGTGCGACGTGCGTAAAGAAAACCGGAGCCGCAG